GTCAAGGAGAGCCTTGGAAGGGCAGACATTGCATCTTATGGAGCAGGAAGGCTGAAGTAATTATTTACTCTTATCTGTGTAAGTTCTTCCCCAACAAAACACCTATTAATCATTTATCTTGTGTCTGGTGAACTCATTTTAACCCTGCCTTCAAGTAGGTATGTCCACTGGAGGTTCCAGGTAAAATGTGTTTCTGGGTATTGGGAGCTGGCACTTAGGAATGGTAATACACTAGGTTTCTGACAGGTTTCACAGGAGAGAGAGAGAGAGAGAGAGAGAGAGAGAGCAGAATGTCTCATCAGGATCTGTTTATTTAGTCTCCTTGGAACGGGGAGAGACAGGGAAGAGAGTTATCCCCAGAACTTGAGTGACCCTGGGAGGTTGGACTTGTTTCCCTGGTCTTCTCAGTTGGTGTGTTCCCAGAGAATGTCTGCTGGTGTTGGCAGCTAACATAATGGGATGAGGTCGCAGAAGGAAGGTGGGGGGTGAAGATATTTGTGTTCCGATTGGGTTGGGGTCAGAGAGAAAAGGGAAGCCACAGCAGGTTTTCTGTTACAGATCTGGGGGTGAGGCTGGAGCATTGCATGTGGAGGAGCAGAAAGAGAGGGGGAGATCTGTGGTCTGTTCACCTGCTTCCCTGGCAGGAGTGGCACTTGGCTTAGCAGAGGGTGTTTGGTGGGTTTGAACCCTGGGATAAAGCAATAGATTCAAAGGTGAGGGGGCTAGAAGGGGAAGATTTGTTGGATCTACTAGAGATGGGGGGGGAGGGAAGCTGCTGCAGGTATTCTTCAGCAAAGCAGGGCATTACACTATGTGCTTGAATCTGGAGCGACAGGGAGGGGAAATATCTGCAGTCATCCTACCTGGTTCCCTGGCAGGAGTCTTCAAATATCCATAATAAATTCATGTTGGCAGAGTATGTTTTTATTTAAAAGCCAAGAATCTAGATTTACCTGATTCCAAAAGATTTAGGGAAATTTGTAGGATGTTGGAGGCAGCATGGAGCTATATCCTGTCTATTGTCACGACCAGTCAGAAAATCAATTTCTGGAACATAAGTATTGTTGACAAAGAAACATCTTATTTACTGGCCAGTGGAAAAGAAGTTTTGATCACGGTCCAGCTCCTTGGCCCCAGTGGGAGATGGGTGCAGACAGGAATTAAGGTGTTTTAGATGTAGGATGGGAGTAATGGAAATAAAGAGGATAATTGGAAGAAGTAGTATTCATGTCTTTTCTGTAAATGCATGGATATCATCCAAGAACTTAGGGAAAAACTTTTTTTACTCCTTTCCTGGTCTAGTAGCTCTTGTTATGGTGCCTGGTAGCTGCCATAGCTCAAACAGTGTGTAGACAGACTAGGCTAGTTTCAGTCAAGTTAGCCCTATATCATAGTTGTAGTTAGGCAAATCATACTCCCCCTCTCCCTACATATTAAATATATTACACACATATATATGTGTACTCATATATGTACATGTAGACACACACAGGGATTGTACCTAGGTCCTTGTATGTAGTAGGCAAGTATTTTATTATTGAACTGTGAATAAATCAATTCTGAAATTATATATATATATATATATACAAATTACCCATTGCTGGCCCTCAAAAAATGCCCTTCAAGTTCCTGCAAAGTTGCACAGACAAATGTTTTTTAACCCATATGGAAGAGGAGTTATCTACAACAAAGTTATTGAGAAACTAACAATGTATTGACTAGTTGTGTAATCTCCTAATAAGTGAACTTAAGTATGTTTTTTTTTTTCAGTTTTCCAGATTGAACCCAGGGCCCATACATGCTAGGACAGTGTTCTACACTGAACTGAGCCTTTATCCCCAAGTGAATGATCCTTAAGTCAACTAAGAACAGTCAAATCAAAGGGCCTGTTTATGGTTTTCCCCAGTAACATCAATACAGACTGGATCATGGGCAGTTTGTGATTTTCCTGGACAGCCTGCATGAAATCTGAATTGACTTTGTGGGCTTACTAAGGTTATTTTATGGGGTGATGTTTTTCCTTGATAACACTAATTTTGAGTTTTTAATAAAAACTGAACTTAGAAGGCAGAACCTCTAATTACTTTGCATGCTTCACACATGTCTACTTGATCTTGGTCAATGGCAGGAAAGTTAACTAATTCTCAAAGTTGAAGATATAGAGGAGACCTCATTCTAATAGCATTGGTTAGAGTAGACAGAATTCTGCTCTTACATCTCAAAACAAAGAATGTTTTTCTCAATGAATTGGTTTGTTGCAAAAATGTTAGAGCTGAGTTTTAGTTTTGGAAAATTGGTTTAATTTTATTTGTAACTTAAATGAAAATGTGCTATTTGATTTGTAGGTGTTATTTGAAATTAAGAATGCAGGTGATAGATAAGATGATAGATGCCTAAAACCATGATAATAGGCACCTGGAATAGAAGGAAGAAATGCCAAATATGGTATAATGGTATTTCTTTAGTCATCTCACTGATCAAAGACAGACCAGCTGTTAGCCAGGAAGGAACAAATATTTCATTTTTCTTTATCTCTGTCAGATCTCAAAGTACAAAAGAGGTATGGGGAAAGAAAATTGTGTCTGGCTTCCATAGAGGTGTGTAAATTAAAACCATAGATAAGTAAAGTAGCATGGATGACTTAGATGGCTATTGTTGAAAAGACTGGAAATTTTTATTTTACAGTAAAGAAAGAAAGATAATTTGTGCTGTATATGCATAGTTCCTGTACTAATAGTTTCCTCTCAGTTAAACATGGGCTACTGTAATTCCAACAAAATATCTAGGTTCATGCAACACTTTTTTTGCTTTATCTTTTTCCTTACAGATTTATGGGAAATATTTTTGTGCTTTGGGAAAGTGGGAGTCTACTATTTAGGGGAGGCAGTGAGGAAGTGAGGGAAGGCTCATTTTCTTTTCAGTACATGACCTCATTCTTGATTGTTGATAATTTGGAGCAGCAGATATGAAAAGACTGTTTTCTATTTGTTGTTGCTATGAAAATACCAATTTCTTTGATTAATAGTAAGTTGCTCTCAAGCTTACTGAGTTAAAATAGCATTAACCAAGTTTCCAGTTGTTTCTGTGTATCAGGTGTTCAGAGCAGGATACAGAGGGATTGGCTTGTCTCTACAAAATTTAGGACCTCACAGAAACACTCAGGAGATAAAGTGATGATTCATCCATTCCTGCATAGCTCTGAATTGTTAAATGAAATACCCATTTGTGTCAATGGAGCAGTTTACTACTGAGCAATAGTACACTCTTGTCATCTTCGAGTGGAGCTTTAACTTGTATGACATTGGAAGGTCAAGCTACTCATCTTCTGATATATTTTCTAATACATTATTATTAAAAATAGCTTCACACTTTTATCCAAATGTCACTGTTTTCCCTATTCATTTTCTTTTTCTCTGGGATGCTGTATTGAAAGCCCCATTTGGCTCTACTTAGTTCTTGATAGTTTCAAGGCATGCTTTATTGTGTCCTTTACTGAAGAAGCAGTGGCTATATATCTTATCCAATATTTTTCTCATGGTTAGACAAAGATTATCCATTTATAGGACATTTGTTTTTTTTATTTTAGAGACATTATGTGTATGTGTATGTGCCTGTGTGTGCTTATGTGAGCCACTTGTGTGCACAGGCCACTGAAAGACAGAGGGCATGGTATCCTCTGGAACTGGAGTTATAGGCACTTGTGAGACCTGCCACCTGATGTGAGTGCAGGGAAAAAAAAAAACCCAGGTTTTCTGGAAGATTAGTAAATGCTCTTAACAGCTAAACTATCTCTTGAGCCCTGCAGGTTTATTTTTAACGAACTTATTCACGGTTGTCAGTCTACCAAAATGAAAGTATGCTGCTTTTTATGGTTGAAAAACCCCCGTCTGAAGCACAAAATTCAAATTGCTCACGGTATACAAAGCTTTTCAGAGCCTCTTTTCTTCAGTAGAAGGTTCTACCCTACAAATTACTTTCACTGTAGCCTGACATGAAACCCTAACATTCTTCAATGTTATAGCTTTCACTCAGACATTCTTGGCTTGTTTCAATAGGTTGTTTTTCCTCAAGAGCATTCCTTTACACTGCTACATTTTTTTCACCCATTCTTACCTCCCCAGACTTCCCACCCTCCTGTCCTATCTGTTACTAAGTTTCTCCAACTAGTGTAATAGTACAGAAATTATGTCAAATGACTTTTATTATATATTTTGTGACAGGCATGTTGTCCTGGTTGAGGATACCTTAAAAAAGACAAGATAAAGTCATTGCTGTCATCCAGTTGACATTTTAGTGGATCAGGCACACTGCCAATAAATCACATCATTGTCTTTTGTTCTGAAGGAAGCAGGAGCTGAGATGGAGAAGTACACCTTATGGGAGTGAGGTACAATATACTTTCAAGAATTCTGGAACCTCCTCTTTGAAAATATTACAAATGCAGGTTTGCTAGCTGTCAGACTTCCTTTGGTTACCGGAGGGGCCAGTCTTTTACCTGTCTCCAGTGCTTGCTTTGGCTTTCATTGGCCAAACAGTGGTTTTGGAATTAAAAACAAATCAGAATAGTGTATAAAAAAATTTAAACCACTTGCGCCTATTGCTCACCCCTAATCTACCCCTTAAGAGATGCATCTTTCAAACATTTTTGGAAAAGCAGAACACCAAGGCACTTCCCATTTGAGCCAGCTGTCATTAGGATGCTAGCATTGACTTCCCCTCTTAATTTTGGGGTAAATGCAATCTTTCAAGCATGGGCCTCCTTTCTCATCTTGAGGAGCACAGGCAGAATGAAGCCACGTAAACCATGAACCAGCCTGGGGAATTCACTAAAGGCCAGCCTCACAGAGAATATTGGAATTCCTCTTCCAGAACAGGCTTTAGGATAGGCTCTCCACTAACACCGGCCAGCTTCCTGCTGGCAGCACCTCCAGCGCCTCAGAAACACAGGCAGAGTCCCGCCCCGCCCATTTCCGGGTTGGTGGCGCTGCGGCCGTCGCATGCGTAATGATGTGTACGTCCCCTGCAGACCCCGGAAGTGCAACTCGAACTTGGTCGGGGCGCGGATCCCGAGAGAGAAAGTGGTAGCAAGCGCTGGAGGGAGTTCGCCCTGCGATCTGGAAAGCCACGCCTCCTCCTGCTAACCCCTCAGCCTTGCAGTTGGGGGCAGAGCTCAGGTA